GGCCACAGACGGATGAGTCTTACTCAACACGAGGAGTGGGGCTGGCCCTGGGCCCAAATCTCTCCTGAGAACTTGCCAAGCCCCCCACCCCCACCGCAAATGCTGAAAACGGTGCTGGCTTCCCAGGGAACAGAAGCGGCAGTATCTCTCCACGCAGAGACACAGACATGCTGCCTCCCATTCCCACCGCTCGGACGGCCCCAGGCTCAGGCTATTCTTGCGGTGGTGCGGGGAGGGCAGCCTACTCTCCACAAGCACTGTGTGAAGGCTCAGACCTGCAACAGGCTCTCCTGCCTCAGCAAGGCCCTGGGACTTTGCAGACGGGACCTCAATTGTCCTCTTCTGACCCTGAAGGGGGTCCAGTTCCCGAATGCGCAGGCTGGGGCCACGCCGTGTCACCTCCCTGTGGAGGCTGGGCCCCTCCCTAGCTCAGCAACAAAACAGGTAAATTCTCTCCTAAGCCTGCCACGAGGGTCCAAAAATTCAAGGGCGTTCAAAAACCTGGAGGAACCCTCCCAATGACTTCCCGAATTGACCCAGGAGAAGACCCTACCTGGGGAGAAAAAGAGCCCAGAGCCCAGTTGGGTGCCCTGGCAGCAAGCCCACGAAAGCCAGGATAACCATGGAAAGAAACGTGACTAGTTTCTCCCTTCCTAACGAACTGCTCCACTACTCTTGTGATCAGATACAGTTTGGTAAGAACCATTTTGGAAGCAAAAGACCCAAGTTCTTTTTCAATAAAATAAAGCCAAGGGGACAAATTCAAATTCCAGTCCCCTAAAATGTTCTGGATGAGACAGCACTTACTCACCCAAGAAAAACCTTAAACCCTCATCAGGAAAAGACAAAAAGCATCACTGATTAAAGAAGTACCTTCTGGCCAGGCGCGGTGGCTCAAGCCTGTAATCCCAGCACTTTGGGAGGCCGAGACGGGCGGATTACGAGGTCAGGAGATCGAGACCATCCTGGCTAACCCGGTGAAACCCCGCCTCTACTAAAAATACAAAAAACTAGCCGGGCGAGGTGGCGGGCGCCTGTAGTCCCAGCTACTCGGGAGGCTGAGGCAGGAGAATGGCATAAACCCGGGAGGCAGAGCTTGCAGTGAGCTGAGATCCGGCCACTGCACTCCAGCCTGGGCGACAGAGCGAGACTCCGTCTCAAAAAAAAAAAAAAAAAAAAAAAGAAGTACCTTCTTGGAGAGCACCAATGTCCCCACAGAGAGCCGCCAAGAGTCACCAAGCAAAAAAGAGAGATGGATGGAAAGTTCCCAAGCTGCAGGGCCCTTCCCACGCAGAACCAGAACGCAAAGGAAATGTGTGGACACCATAGAAAAGGAACCAACACGGCAGATGTGGACAGGGGCCGGGAGGAGGAACAGGGGTCCCGAGTGGGAATCGCTCCTCCAGGGATGCACACACGCAGTGACCGTGCTGTGAGCACTCTCCCCAGCCCCCACCACTGGACAGATTGTTTTCAAGATGTTGAAAGAACTTAAGACAAAGAGAATGATGTACAGGTTTCAAAGTCAATGGTATCACATATTTCAACATTCTCCAGAAAACAGCCTCTCCTGGTAAATCCTGTCTCTGGTTATACCTCACAGACTCAGCCGGCTCCCAGGCAATGTCAAAGTCAGCTTCCCCCGGGAACTCAGTGAGTGTCTGCTCCCATCTTCTCCTTAATGGATAGCCAGTCTGTAGGCTTTAAATACAGCCTGCCACTGTCTGTTTAAATTGTTGTGTGTGTACATTCACACACACACGTGTGCGCGCATATACACACACACACACAAAACAGCTTCTGTCAGCTTGCAGAGACATCCATTTTGTAAGCAATGCAAATTAAAACTGATTTAATCTGGGTGAACCTCCTCCTCCCCAACATAGAATCGAAGCAGAGTGTACTGGGGCCGGGAGCTGGGGCGTAGGGGCAACAACGCAGCCTTCTGAAGACCTGCCTCTAAAGAGTCAAGTCTTGTCTGTATCGGCAGAACTTAAAATGAAAAGGCAAAAGCCACAGCTCCCAGCAGCTCTTTAAAAAGTTAAAATTGGCTGGGTGCGGTGGCTCACGCCTGTAATCCCAGCACTTTGGGAGGCCGAGGTGGGCGGATCACGAGGTCAGGAGTTCGAGACCAGCCTGGCCAAGATGGTGAAACTGTCTCTACTAAAAATACAAAAATTAGCTGGGCACAGTGGCAGGTACCTGTAATCCCAACTACTCAGGAGGCTGAGGCAGGAGAATTGCTTGAATCCGGGAGGTGGAGGTTGCAGTGAGCCAAGATCACACTACTGCACTCCAGCCTGAACGACAGAGCAAGACTCCATCCCAAAAAAAAAAAAAAAAAAAAAAAATTGGCTGGGTGCCGTGGCTCAACCTGTAATCCCAGCACTTTGAGAGGCTGAGGTGCATGGATCTCTTGAGGTCAGGAGTTCGAAACCAACCTGGCCAACATGGCAAAATCCTGTCTCTACTAAGAATACAAAAATTAGCTGAGCATGGTGGCATATACCTGTGGTCCCAGCTACTCAGGAGGCTGAGTCACGAGAATTGCTGGAACCTGGGAGGTGGAGGGTGCAGTGAGTCAAGACTGAGCCATCACACTCCAGCCTGGGTGACAGAGCAAGACTCAGTCTCAAAAAAATAAATAAATAAAATTTTTTAAAAAGTTAAAACTAATGTGCTCATTAAAAGTTTTGAGAACACACTAAAACCAGGGGTTAGCAGGGGAAGCCAGTTGGACCTGCAGGGCTGGGCCCGCTAACCCTCCGAACATGGGTATTTAGCAGAAGCTGCTTTAAATGCAGTCTCAGAAAGGGTAGGAAAAAAGAATGGCAGGGAGAGGATGGCATTGCTAGGCAATGTGGACAAATGATATATAAAGCACCAGCAAGCTGCTCAGATGTGAGCGCCCCTCGATGTGTGGGCTCATGGGGTGATGGCAGCACTCTCCTCGCTGGCAGAAGATGGTTGTACCGGGATGCCCTTGGTTTCCAGGATAAGGCTGGGCACATGTCGCACAGACAAGCCCACATGGATGGTGTCATGAATCCTCTTCACCAAGTCAGGCTGGAAGGCGTGCCCGGAGGCCATCTCCAGGAAGAGGATCACCCTCTCCTCCCCGTACTTGTTATACTGGGGGACACACAGGCTGTCCTCCACCTCCTTGAAGGAGTCCACTGTGGAGACAGGAGAGGGCACACTCATCGACAGGGGGCCCCTCAGTGTGGGGTCGGGCCTCACAGCAACCTGGCAGAGCAGGAGGGGCAGGCTGCGACCCCCAGGCCTACCAGGGGTGCCTGTGTTCTCCCAGCCCACCAAGGAGGAGTGCCTTGGAGGGACATTTGCTGAGGGAGCTGTTTCACAAGTGGAGGAAAGCCCATCACTGGGGAGGCAGAGAGAGCTTCAGCTCTGGCAGGACAGGCAATGTTTTACCGGGGGGCCAGGTGTGGGCCTTATTCACTTAATAACAGATTAATTCAAGATAAAAAAGAGGGCCAGGTACGGTGGCTCATGCCTGTAATCCCAGCACTCTAGGAGGCTGAGGTGGGAGGATCACTTAAGTCCAGGAGATTGAGACCAGCCTGAACAACATACGGAGACTTTGTCTCCACAAAAAAGTAATAACTAAGCCAGGCATGGTAGCACATGCCTGTAGACACAGCTGCTCAGGAAGCTGAGGCACGAGGATTGCTTGAGCCAAGGAGGTCGACGCTGCAGTAAGCTGATTCTGCCACTGCCCTCCAGCCTGGGCAACAGAGTGAGACCCTGTCTCAAAAAAAAAAGGAAGCAGGTGGCCGGACACAGTGGCTCACACCTATAATCCCAGCACTTTGAGAGGCCAAAGTGGGTTGATTACTTGAGCTCAGGAGTTCCAGACCAGCCTGGCCAACATAGCAAAACCTCATCTCTAAAAAACCCACAAAAATTAGCTGGGCATAGTGGTGCACACCTGTAGACCCAGCTACTCAGGAGGCTGAGGTGAGAGGATCGCTTGAGACAAGGAGGTGGAGGTTGCAGTGAGCCGAGATCGCACCACTGCACTCCAGCCTGGGTAAGAGAGTAAGATCCTGTCTCAAAAAACAAAAGTAGGCCGGGCGCGGTGGCTCAAGCCTATAATCCCAGCACTTTGGGAGGCCGAGACAGGCGGATCACGAGGTCAGGAGATCGAGACCATCCTGGCTAACACGGTGAAACCCTGTCTCTACTAAAAAAATACAAAAAACTAGCCGGGTGAGGTGGCGGGTGCCTGCAGTCCCAGCTATTCCGGAGGCTGAGGCAGGAGAATGGCGTAAACCCAGGAGGCGGAGCTTGCAGTGAGCTGAGATCCGGCCACCGCACTCCAGCCTGGGCGACACAGTGAGACTCTGTCTCAAAAAAAAAAAAAAAAAAAACCAAAAGTAAAAAAAAAAAAAAACGCAGGAGCCTGTGGTGGGTACTCCACTGGAGGGAGGAACAAAGGCTGGAATCAGACCATCAGGGTTTCTCCACCCTGGCTACACAAACGACCTTGACATAAGTTTAGAACTCTGACCTAAGCACTAGCGTGTGACGCCATCTGACCGACTTTGCAGCCTGGGCTGGGCCTGGGTCCCTGGGCTGGGCAGTTTGAAGGCCCACAGAGGACTCCACCATGCAGTTGTGAGACTCACAGGCCTACACTGTCTGTGCTTGGTGTCCTGCATGGTGTCGTGTGCCCTTCAGCCATCCTGCACCCACTCTGTGCTTCTGGTTTGTTAACCCATAAAGAGCAGATGCAAGTTGGCCAGGCACAGTGGCTCATGCCTGTAATCCCAGCACTTTGGGAGGCCGAGGCAGGCGAATCACTTGAGGTCAGGAGTTTGAGACCAACCTGGGCAACACGACGAAACCCCATCTCTACTAAAAATACAAAAATTAGCTGGGCGTGGTGGTGCATGTCTGTAATTCGAGCTACTGAGGAGGCGGAGGCATGAGAATTGCTTCAACCTGGGAGGCAGAGGTTGCAGTGAGCCAAGATCATGCCACGGCAGTCCAGCCTAGGTGACAAAGGGAGACTGTCTCAAAAAAACAAAACGAAAAAAGAGTAAAAGCAAGTAACCAACCCAACAGAGCTCACCAGGAGGATGAAGTACAATGGGGAAGGGGATGGGCCAAGGGGCCTTAAAGACCCCATTCGAGGTTTTATGAGGACGGCAGTGTGTGCAAGGTATGATCTGAAAAGGAGGTCAGGCTCTCAAACGTCCACTGTCATACCAGAGACCAAGGGGCCAGAGTCATGCCAAAGGTAGGGACTTTGGAAATGGCCCCTGGGGCTTGCACCAGGACCCTCCTCCTTCCTGGATACTCAAGAACGCTCAGGGAGAAGAAGAGTATACCAACATCATAGATTTCCAGGCTGCCGAACCGCGCCCTGTTGGGGTTGAGCGTGCCGTCACTGGAAGGAAAGAAGAGGTCAGGGCTACACCGCAGCTCTGAGGTGAGGCAACTCCCAGGGGTCCCGGGGAGGGTGGTCACCCCCGCCTTCCGCATGGCATCCCCCAGGACCAGTCATGGATGCTTCCCTCCCCAGCTCCTTGCCCCTCCACCCGGCTCTTTCTCCCTCTCTGGTTAAAGCTCGACATCGAGGGAGGCCCCTCTGTGCAGGAACAGCTGTCACCTCACTCCCTTACCACCTGCACATGCGTCCCCTGTCCCGGGTGCGGACACTGCTGTGCCTTTGCTGTGGGACCCCCCACCCTGACACCCCTACCTGAGAACCGCATCACAGGGCAGGGAAACTTGGATCACGCCCAGACCCAGCCCTTGGGAAGGAAGCTGGCACAGGGATGCCCCACCCCAGGAATGACACAGGAAGGGTCCAAGATGGGGGACAGTTAGCCACGTCGCAGATTGAGCAGACAATGCTTCCTCAGAGGGGATCTTCAGGCTCAGGGGAGGCATGTGCACAGGCACAGGGGCGGGAAGCATGGCGCACCAGCCGGTGGGGCATGGGGGGTCCCAGACATCAGTAGAGCTGTGGGTGGTATGGACACCCTGGTGCTGGATTGGAGTGGGGTGCCCAGGAAGGGGGTCACTGACTGTCACAGAAAATGCCTCCTCCTGGACCCCCATGCCTCTGGAAGGTGGGGCTCCAAGGCAGAGAAGCTGACTCCACAGCCCTTACCTCCAGCCAAGCATGACGATGCCACCAGTCTTGGGGTTGATTCTGCAGTCACCATGAGCCCAGATACCTGCAAGGATGGCAGAGGCGTCTGGTCACCCCAAGGAGAAGGGGCCATGACGGGCTGCCTGGACAGATGCTGGGTGCAGGTCCGCAGACATCTGGGGCCCAGAGGCAGGTCTGGCATCGGGCTGGGGGCAGAAGGGAGCCAGACTGTTCCTGCCCCAAGGAACACACCCTCTAGTGGGGGCTGCTTCCTGGGCAGCTCTGACACAGCCGGTGAGGAGAAACGCAGCTCCTGGGGCACCAGCAAGGACCCGGGAATTCAGGAGCATCTGGAGACAACTCTGAGTGGAGCACAGGAAAGAACGAGCCACATCTTGGGAAGCAAGAGTGGTCGGGGCAGCGGAGGGCACAAGGTGTGCAGAGGTTGGGGCCAGATCTTGGAATGTAATACAACAGCTCACGGCCAGAAAGGAGGCTACTGCACCAGTCCCAGTCATGCAGGCTTGAACCAAAGCATTAACCACACGGACAGAGAACCGATTAGCAGGTCAAACCCAGGGGACGAGGAGGGTGGAGGAAGAGGAAAGAGCCAGGAGTGATGGCAGCACGGTATCAGCAGGCTAATGAGTGGCCACATGTGCAGCTGTTCAGAGAAGGCCTGTGTGCTGGGTGGTGCCGTGAAGCTGATTAACCAAGGGGATCAAATCCCAGGTTTGGACGCAGCATCTAAGGAGAGAGGTTCCTTTGCCACATCCTCCACCCAGGTGCCAAACAGTGAAGAGAAGCCACACATCTGAGAGTCACCAAAGGAGCAGTTAACTCACCCTCAGCCCTCAGTCAGCCACACTAGGGAACCGGCTGGCCATCATCAAAAGCGCATCTCTGCTGCTTTGCAACATGGGAAGTCATCGGCCTCAGCATCAGGCTGTCCTCCTGAAATAAGCCCCAAAGATTTCCTGTGATCCAGAAAGGGAAAACAGTAAAGAAGCCAGCTTCCATGTCTTCACTGACGGGTGGTAGCCTCAGAAAAACATCTCTTTTCTCCCAAATTTTGAGACACTTCTCCAGCACTTCTCCACTCCGAGGCAAGCGCTAACCCAAACAGTTCACGACTCGACAGCTACGTAGTCTATCCACGCCTTCACGTGACATGGTGAAAGAGACACTGCCACAAGCCACAGCCGAGCCTTCTACAGGGATGAAGGCCAAGGGGACCGTGCAGGGAGTGCATCATCCCTGGGTGGCAGCTAAAGAGAGTGAAATGAGCCCTAAGCTACTTAATCTGATGCAAAAAAGAGAATTGCAGGCCTTCAGGTCTTCCTCCCACCTCCCCAGGCTGGAGAATGAAACCAATTCTTTCTCATTGGACTTGTTTTTTTTTTTTTTTAGATGGAGTTTCACTCTTGTTGCCCAGGCTGGAGTGCAATGGTGCGATCTTGGCTCACTGAAAGCTCCACCTTCTGGGTTCAAGCGATTCTCCTGCCTCAGCCTCCCAAGCAGCTGGGATTACAGGTGCCCGCCACCACACCCAGCTAATTTTTGTATTTTTAGTAGAGATCAGGTTTCACCATGTTTGTCAGGCTGGTCTCAAACTCCTGACCTCAGGTGATCCTCCTGCCTTGGCCTCCCAAAGTGCTGGAATTACAGGTGTGAGCGACCGTGCCTGGCCTCTCATTGGACTTTTAAAAGATTCACATACACAAATCAGGGGGAAAAAAAAAAAAAAAATCCACTCCTAGGCTTGCAATTGATGTGCCCGGTTTCTGCAGGAGGACATCTGTACGGCTACTCAGCAAACTGAGTTCAGAAAGGCAGCCCCAGGAGATGAGAGCTGCAAGCCTGTGCCACTCACCTGGGAATCCTGCCTCATTCTGGAACTTTGCTGCCAGCAGCAACACAGCCTTGTTTGCCTGGAGTCAGATCTCCCTTGAATTGGATGGGAAATTTCTGGGTTTTCTGGGCCATTTGTAATACTGTGCCCTAATTACTGAGACCCTGGAAATGAAGAGAAAAAGGAAGATGTAAATCCACTCTGAAGAAATTTTCTTTTGTGGAAACTTCCCCGTGACACACTTTGATCCCTTGCAAAGCTGAGCTGAGAGGAGGAATCCACTAGTGGCTGGCTCCAGGGCACCACAAAGGAAGCGGCTTGATGGCAAAACAAAGCCACAGAAGCAATGTCTTCCTTTCTACAGCAGACTGAACAGATTTAGATCATTCCCATTCTTCAAGGCACTGACTTCAGCCCTGAGCCTCCTGGGAGCTGAGGCAAAAGTGAAACCACAGTGGGAACAGGTGACTGCCGATAACAGACCAGGCCTGTTTGGAATGTGGCATCTGTAATGACAAGTGAAACCACAGTGGGAACAAGTGACTGCCAATAACAGACCAGGCCTGTTTGGAATGTGGCATCTGTAATGACTTAAATCTTAAGCTTGCTTTTACTTTCTTTTAAAATATTAGGTTTTAAAAAATAATAAAAAGCAGCCGGGTGCGATGGCTCACACCTGTCATCCCAGCACTTTGGGAGGCCGAGGTGGGCAGATCACGAGGTCAGGAGATCGAGACCAGCCTGGCTAACATAGTGAAACCTCATCTCTACTAAAAATACAAAAATTAGACTGGTGTGGTGATGCGTGCCTGTAATCCCAGCTACTCATGAGGCTGAGGCAGGAGAAGTTGAGATGGTGTCACTGTACCCCAGCCTGGGCGACAGAGCAAGACTCCGTCTCAAAAAATGAAACTAAAAACCCATAAAGAAAACCCAAATGGGCTCATAATCTCACCACTCATGTAAGCCCTTATTCACACTTGTTATTCATTTATTCACACGATCACACATATGTTCTTTATTTTTAAAATTTACAGAAGGCCCGCTGCGGTGGTTCACACTAGTAATCCCAGCACTTGAGGAGGCTGAGGCGGGAGGATTGCTTGAGCTCAAGAGTTTGAGATCACCCTGGGCAACAGAGAGAGACCTCATCTCTACAAAAAATACAAAAATTAACCAGGCATGGTAGCACATACCTGTAGTCTAGCTACATGGGAGGCGGGAGGTTCCTTTGAGCCCTGGAGATCAAGGCTGCAGTGAGCTGAGATCACATCACTGCACTCCAGCCTGGGGGACAGACGGAGACCCTGTATCTAAAAAAAAAAAAAAAAAAAAAGAATACAATTTACACAAAAGGGATGCTATGTCCTCTGTTCTTGAACTCTCATTTTCACTTACTATCTTCCTGAATCTTTCCATACCAGCATGATGGGATTCGGTCAGGCTGATGGGAAAAATATTAGTTATGATACCCACAAAACCCTTCCGGAAGGCCTGAGGGTTTTCACATGACTTCAGTAATAGATGGGGCTAAAGGCGGCCTGGTCCCATTACCTTTAGTTAAATAGATTAGAATAATAAACAATGGGACAATAGTAAACAATGGGACAATAGTAAACAATGGGGAAGTTAACTAGTTAACTTGTTTACTCATGTGGTCTTAAGACTGACCTTCAGACATTTGAGGGCAGGATGGCTCTCTTGGGAGGTCAACCAGGGATATTACCAACTACTGGTGTGTGCTTTTGGAACCTCGCTTTTAATCATTATCTATAAGTGTGTTGACTCAGAGCTTCTGTTGTTAATTATATACTAAATAACTGCCTGGAGTACAAGCTGCTGAGGGCCGTGGCTGCCATTCTTTACAGGACTCTCCTTGGAGTCTGTGAGTGGCCTCAGACCCTCAGCTGGACTGGAAAAGCAGAGTATCTGTGCATTCGTTCATCTGTCGTTTGGGCCAGGGTCTGCGGGCAGACCCCCGCAGCTAATGCCCTCTTGTGAGGAGCAATACCTCATCAGCACACGGCCTGTTTCCGTTTTCACCTAGCATCATCTTTTAAGGTAACAATGTTCGTAAACCCACTCCCAGTTGCAGAAAGGAAGACTTGCTCTTGTTGCTTGATTTTGCCACCATACCTCATCAGCACACGGCCTGTTTCCATTTTCACCTAGCATCATCTTTTAAGGTAACAATGTTCGTAAACCCACTCCCAGCTGTAGAAAGGAAGACTTGCTCTTGTTGCTTGATTTTGCCACCACGCCATTTCCTATACAGCCCAAGAATCTCTCAGCGCTGGTGCTTGAGGAATGGTCTAAGTGCAGCCTATGTTCACCCTGTCCAGGAAAACAGCTTCAGATCTCATGATCTGATCTGCCTTTGTCTTTCCACATTTATTCATGTCTGTCATCTACACCCAGGAAGTATCGGAAGCAGCTACCTATAAAACTGACTTCATGATAGGATTCCTCAAAGAGAAGCAAAATCCTACTCTAAAGATAAGAGGACTACAAAAACCAAGCAATGATTTCAGCTCTGAGTTTCCTGGCAGCCAAGGCAAAAACGGAAATATAACATATCACAAAGTATATGTTTTCTCCAAAAAGGAGTATCAGTTTCAAAAAGAGGTTATTCTGAAATTAATCCTGAGAGACATCACATGAGCCCTTGCACATGTGACAAAAAAAGTGACAGAAAAGTGAGTTTTCAAAGAGCAATGTTACAGAAGATGAAGGGCTGTCATTTCTTGGATGGATCCTCAAGCTGAGATTCTAATCCTTTTGGCCTCTCCTCCCAAGGCAGGAGCCCCTGCCCTCCTCTTCAGGGTCATCTGAAGAGTGTTTCTCTACATCCACTCTTGCTTTTCTGCATTCGTCTATCTGCACAGCTGCTCACGGCTCCAGGCATAGGTGCAGCAGGTATGCAGTGGAGGCTGAGCCACCCCTGGGGGGACGCCCCGCACTGCGGCAGGAAGGCGCTATTCCAGGCACAATGGTTTTACGGTGACACGCAAATACGCAGGGCAGGAAAGATTCCTGGCAAATCCTAGCACTTGCTGCTTTCTGATTCTCCATACATCTATGCTAAACCACATTACCTTTTGAGAGACTGCAGTGAGCAAGTACTGAGTATAAATAACTCTGAAACAGAAGGCTAAACGATGAATTATATGGCAGCAATAGCTCGAGACTGCTTATGAAATAAAAACAGAGGGAGACAGGAATCAGAGCTTTAAATAAAGACTTCCCTATGTTGTCACCAAGCGAGTTACAGAGAAACGCCACACTTTGAGACGAAGTCAGGAGTCCTTTATTAGCCGGCGACTGAGAGACGGCTGGTGCTCAAAATTCTCTCGACCCCAAAGAAGGGGCTAGATTTTCTTTTATACTTTGGTTTAGAGAGGGGAGGGGGAGCCTAGCTGTAGCAATCGTACAGAAGTAAAACAGGCAAAAAAAAAAAAAAAAAAAAAAGTTAAAAAGACAAATGGTTACAGGAAAACAGTTCCAGGTGCAGGGGCTTTAAATTCATCACAAAGTGACAGGTGTGGGGGCTCTGGGTGTTTTCTGCTGGACACAAACTCCACGGGGGGCTTTAGGGTACTATCACCTGGGCGAATTCCTGGGAACTGCAGACATAGCTTGTCACAGCACCTTATCAGTTAATTGCACTCTTTGATATGCTGAGAGTCAGCTTGCACAAGTCCTTGAGGAAGCGGGTGGGTGAGGAGCCCTTGATGTCTTGTAAATGAAGGAGCCAAATGGAGTCCGTCCGGCTTTCTCAGTTAAGGGAGAGTCTATTCATATTAAAACAAGGTTAGGTATCTAAGGGAGAGTCTATTCACATTAAAACAAGGTACAGTATCACGCCTGCTTTGGGGCAAGGCAGCGCTCAAAACACGACACTCAGGGGTGTCAGTCTATGTGAGAGTGACGTGTCGGGTTGTAAATCCTTCCACTGCAAAAGTGCTCTTCCTCTAGCATCTCCATGAGGACTGAAAGATGGTGACACACACAAAGGAAGAGACCTCAGCCAGACACCACTTCCACATGCCACTCCTCTTGAACAGGCAGGCATCTCCCTGTTTCAGCGAGTGGGCCCTGCACCCTCCACCCTGCCACATGCACACCAGAGGCTCATGCCAGCTACCAACAGCAGGGCCCGGGACCAAGAGGCTCTGGGCAGAGGTGGCTGAGATTCAACTAAACCCAGATTACAGTTACACATGATAGCTTCAAGCTGAAGGCAACAAGATATCCATCAAAAATTCATTATCGCCCCACTGGCAGAATGAGCTATATGCAGCTTCTCCAAGCCCTGGTGGGGGAAGGAAGAGGGGAGGGGCTAGATGGGAAGGGAAGGATGAGGATACACAATGACACACAGAAGGCCCAGCCAAGGCAGAGGCTGGCCAGCTCTGTCTGCATCTCTCCAACCGACCTGGGAATTTGGAGAAATACGCCTTCCTGTACTTGTTGCCGTTCTCATTGTTCCAGAAGTGTGTGAGTTAGCAAGGGATCGGCTTAGTACATAGCAGCTCGCTGCTGTCTCCCCAAACCCTTTCCTAGTATGGGAGAATTAAAAATAAGCCCAACACACACCACAGCCACACACCCTGGCTATCTCTCTTAAGCTATTACTTATTATGCAATATTCCAGACATATACAAAGGTACAGAGATGGTCCACGCCCACACACCTGTCATGGCAGCCTGATAATGTGTTTCTCCCAGATGAAGTTGCCTCCCTGTATGTGCTCCCCAAAATTGCTGTCTTGAACATGGCGATTGGTTATTTCTCTGTGTGTTAACATTTTTGCTCCATCCACACGCATCCCTGAATAGCATGTGTCATCACTCTGCATGCTTCGGAACACACACACGCTGTCCTTCTACGTGTACCGCATCTTCCTGAGCTCACTCAGCATGACGTCTGGGTGGCTCATTTGGGCTACTACGTGTTGCTCTGGTTCATTCCTGTTTACTGCTTCGTCATTCGCCACGTGTGATCACAATACTTCTGCCCAAAGATGGACATTTCTATTATTCCTAATTTTGTTTTCTGTTACAAATCATGGGGTTACAAACATTCTTGCACAGATCACAAGTCAGTCTTCCAGGAGTGGAATTCCTAGATCACAGGGCACGTATGCACCTTCAGCATCACTGACTACTCCTGCATTGCTCTGCAGAGCAGCTGCACTGAGCCCTGCTCACCCCTCCTAGCACAGCTGGATTTCTAGCTGCCAGGCCCAGCACAGCGGGAGACTATCCCTTTCATGACCGGGCTCCCAGATGCTCAGAGCTCACCACTGCCTGTGTATCCAGCACCGGTTCAGATTCGGGGCAACGACCACCCTTGCCTGCCATTCCTGAGCACACAGCTCTCCGTCTGTCCTCCAGCTCGACCCTGACCTCTCAGGGGCTGGGGACCAGGAGCCCAGTGAGTGCTAAACCAAGCTGCGGGGAAAGGACATCACGCTACAAGTGACAGGGGCCTCCCCTCCGAGGGCTGTTTTGGAGAACCATCACCAAGCAAAGTCACACATCTGAGTGCTCCCAAGCTCCCAACTCACACCTAATCACAGAAAGAAACAGTTGGCGGAGCCATCACCTTCCTCGTTCCACACTTCCATGGCCATGCCCAGGTTCTGGGCCTGAATCTCCCCTTTATACCCAGGAAGAGAAAAATTCTGGCGCACGAAGCAGGAGATGTCGATGCCTCCTGCAAGCAATGGCAGAATGGGAGTCAAAATTCAGAAACCCAAGACAAACAGCTTTTAAATTAGTGAGCAACAAAGGAGAAAGTGCCAAGAGGACAAGTATCTCCCAGACAAACACTGCAACGCCCAGACACGTGGGGCTTCTTTTCACGGAGCAGCTGGAGAGGTGATATGGAAATTGGAATAAACCCCCTACATCTGGTGACAGATGTTCTGGCCGAGCCTTCCTGCGAGAGGATGCACTAAGAAAATGACCTCCTGTGGTCACACGGAAACTCAAGATTCAGGATCGCAGAAAATGGAAGCTTTGCCTGTGGTATCTACCCAGCAGATACCGCCTATGCGGACCCATCATGTGGGAAGGCTTGCGCGCCATGCTTTACATGGTTTACATGGAAAAACAGAACCGTGGCCAGGCACGGTGGCTCATGCCTATAATCCCAGCACTTTGGGAGGCCGAGGTGGGTGGACTGACTGAACTCAGGAGTTCGAGACCAGCCTGGGCAACATGGTGAAACCCCATCTCTACTAAAAATACAAAAATTACAGGCATGCACCACCACGCCTGGCTACCAACAGCAGGGGCCGGGGC